CGGTCATCGTCCACGTGGGTCTCGATATTACGTCAGGATGAACTTGACACGTTACGTCGAGGTGGATGCCGGTGATCAATGGGCCAGTAGGCTGCTTTTGATTCCTGATTCAAATCGTATGATGGAAATAAACCATCGCTAAATGTTGATAGCCCGCCCCGGAAGCAAAACGACATAAGTTGCTCAATTATTTAGGTAACTTCGATTACTGAAAGATTTATATTTACCAGGGACCTTGAAGAGAACGGAAGGATCATGAAATATGAACAGAACGTTCCGCGATTTTCGACCGCAACATTAACCGTGTCCAAATATCTCTCAATCCTGGTAATGCCTGCTTTTAATATCCAATATCGCTAAGAATACAAGGCACCAAATTCTTTACGGTAGAAGTGGTCGGCGATCCTCGATCTCTTCTGTGATTGTAAGAGTGAGCTTCCTCCCGGCGAAGGCGAGGAAAAAGCAAAAGGGGAATCGTCGACGTGCAGAGTCGTTCGACTCGAAAATTACGGGAGGATCCCCGTGGAAATGACCAGCTATAAATACACGGGAGTCAGCGGGGCCACGCTGTAAACTTTATTGCGGTTCGTTTTCCGTCGCGGGCTACCCGCGAAGAAGAAAACGTTCGCTCTCGAAAAATTCTCGCGGCTGCAGCAACCCTCGTTTCGCCGATGGTATTTTTGCATCGGCCAGCTTCATCCTTGGCCGCGTAGCTTGCGAGTTTTTTCACCGACTTCGCCATGCCGTCGACTCTCAAATGTTCTTCGTCTTTTCAGTTCGTTGCCTCACTTCTCTGCAGCCTTGAGATAAAAAAGAAAAGGAAAAGAAGATGAAGTGGAAGATTGAGAGTGCCTTTTTCTTGTTATTTTTATGGTGGGTGCGATTAATAACTGTGTCAATCATGGTCGTGTTCCAAACGCTGACTAACGGTTACAAAACTAGCATAGCGGTATGTATCGTAAGACCAGATGGAACACACGTGGAATGATAATCGTCTTGTTCTTTGCATTTATATGCGCTGGAACGGGTACGATGATGTTCTCTGTGCTTGCCTGTAGAGAAGTATGAGTCATCGATGTACTAATAACGAACTTGGAGTATACTACAATGTATGCTTCGATTTTCTTTCCAAAATGTAACTTACTTTGCGACTACACCGATGAAGAAAGCAGAGAAACGCGGATATTGAGTTATTTTGTCTCATTACGGGATTCCTGCTGGCCACGCTTGTCACGAGATTAATGATGGAAAGCTGAGTATCTGGGAAGTGCTTTTTGCCTGCGTACCTTCGGGCTCGAGAATCACTAAGAATTTCAAAGAAACAGGAAATGGGTTGTTCAGTGAATATAAGTAAGCAATTAAATCGTGATATTAGATCTTAATACCTGGAATGGGCACTTAATACTGATAAACAGTATTTTATTTACCATCGTGGAAACATCATTATTCTTTTAACTATTAACAAAGCACCGTCATTATTCTTCAGGTAAAATGGCGAAGGAGGTGCTCGCATGGAGTTAAAATAATTGCGTGTAAAGGGGATGCATCTTCTTAGGAAACAGTCCAGAATAAAAGATCAGAAGATTTATCATTCGAAGGTGCGAATTATCATTGTAAAGTAGGGGATACCCGAGAGCTATAGGTTATTCCAGGGCGAAAGTGGCATTTATCGTACTTCGTGCCAACTCGCTTGGCTGACATTAAGCCGAGTGCAGACGATGCTTGCACGCGTGCAGCCTTAATACCGGTTTAGAGCGAGGGGTCGCGTCGCGAGTCACATACTTTTCATAAATAAATAATTATTTGAAAATATAACTGTGTCGTAACGCAGACTTGATTAGACACTGTTCGTTAATCGTTGTCTCCAATACACGAGCACCGAGGTATACTCGTTGTATAACCTTTTTTAAAGGCTGATTAAGAAAGCAAGATTTGCTGCTTGATAAGCGGCTTAAATTCATATAAATCAATATTAATCTTCAGTTAGACTTTGGATATCTTCTTTAGATTATCAAATCAAAAATTCATTGTATTTTGTTTCATGTATCTAATTTGTGATATTTTTAAAGCCAAACAAATGCAATGCTTAACAATGTTTAAGTGACTATAAGAAGATGGCGCCATATAGATTTTGTATGCTCGTGGATATTATACGGGGAAGAGTGGACTATAAGTAAATTATAGCATGAAAGGGCGATGCACATTTTGGCTTCCTGATGTAAAGTTGCAGTTTTCCAGCCGATCACTTGCTGCCATCGTTAAGAAAAGGCAAACCCACGTATCTTTCACACTATACTGGATCTCGTTTAATTGTAATTAGATACCAACTGTGCAGACACATGTGGCTTAAAATAGCATTTTGTAATTGCTTCAGACACGGATGTTTATCATCCGTTACAACCATTATTGTTGTTGTTCCTTACAATTAGAAACTAGTTAGCTTTTTCAATATTTTTTACTCGTAACGTGTTTTGCTGCATTTGTTCGATTAGTTTTGACGTAAGTAGTAATTTATCTAATATTGAATTTGCTGAGTTCAACGAATTCGCGGAAGCGTAACAAAGTTGAGTACACTTAATTATACAGGAAGTGCACTTAGGTCGTTAGGGAGTAACGTTTTATTCGAGACGAAAGGAAATGCGCGCGCGCCTTCCCATTCATTTAGATTACTCCTTGAAACGCTTCCTTTGTGTACAATGTGACGTTTAGCTTTTTTTTTTGTACATCGCTAAACATCGATCAGCAATTTAAACGCTGTTCGCACGGGCAGTAATTTAAACCAATTACAAAAAATGCCAAGCTTAATGTTTTCGTGTAAAGTTCCGAGCCATAAATTTTCTGAAATCATATATAACACATTCAGAAAGCAGAAAGAACGAATTTTGATGTAATTAGTAACAAATAAAGAATTTTATTTTAAAAATAACCTTGATAAAAATCTTGTACAAGTTACGCCCGACTCTGCTCGTCGTACTAGCCGTTTTGAAACTCCTCTGTTGTCCTCCGTTAAGAGGACCACTGATCATGATCGCCTATATACATAACCTCGAACGCGCGTGACATACAAACAATCCCATAGGCTCTTTCGAGACGTTTCTAATTCTACCATGCTTTCGAAACAGGCCCAAAAGTATCTTCACTGGCGCCCTCTGGTTTAACGCGGGAACAGTACATCACCGAATTCCCTCCAATTTAAAAATTTTCCCGAAAAAAGAAACGTATTTTCTCATGCTTCGATACTCATGCATCGCCAGTCAGATACTTAAACGTGTCCACACATACTTGTATATATATATATATACGCATGTATCGGCACACACAAACACGACCACGCGGAACACACGGAGGGAATGGGCTGTTTCTCCTTCTCTGTTGTGCCTTCAAACGCCTTCCTCTCTTCCTCCACCACCTTCTTTCTACGGCACAGAGAGTTCCTTTAAGCCGGCAGTTTCGTGTGTTACACCGTGGCGTGTGCACACAAGATCACATAAGTTTTATGTACAAGACGGGCACAAAAGGCACCCTGAGAGATCGGCGGTGGCTTTCTTCGGTGGAACGAGTTTTCCAGGTGTCATCCAGGTGTACGAACCGATAGTCGAGCCTCATGCATGAACTCCCGTCTGCGATAAATAAAAGTAAGAGTCCCGTGGAATCACTTTAAACGCTTCGAACCGCGCGGAGTCGTAGTTTCGAAAGAGGACGTCTTTGTTCTGACGTTGCGCCTGTGATCGCGACTGTGATGTGATAAGTTTCGTGGGTGAACACTGTGTGACATTTGTGACAGGCTAATCAGCTGGAACGTAAGTTTAATTTAATTTCTCTTTCATCCTTTCCTACATCTCCAAAGTTTCTTTCTTTGTCACGTGATTTCGACAGGTGCAAAAGGTTATGTTTGAAATAGAATAAAATTTGAGATTTTTACCTGTGTTGTAACACAATTCTGTGCAAGATTCTTACTTTTCGTGTAGTTACAAATCTAGCCAGTAGAAAGATGAAAATAACACAAGGTCGCAATTGATGTTGTATACTTTTTATCCAGATAGTTTTTGTCGAAAATGCACACAAAGTGGGAGGCGCGCAAGCTGCGCTTTATGTCATTGACATCTGGAACGTGAGTCACTGAAACGAAATTGCGAACATCTCGTGCTTTTATTAGGTGATGCACGGATTACTGCAGATGCATCACGAGGTGGTCTGCAACATGGTACTGGAAGTACCTTTTTTACTCGTAAATCTGTGCGGCGTGGTTTTCGTATATAATTTATCTTGCAATGCATGATTGCGACATCTTAAGATGATCACGTTGCAGAATAATTTTGCCCGTAAACTACACCTGACATTTCAAAATCAACTCTCTTATACACCTTCGAATAACATCCTTTCGAAATTATTTTATTTTCCATTGAAGCATGTTATATGTATTTTTTTTCCTCACATTGATATCCGCCATAACATTTCACGTGAAATGCATAATATCGATACGTGACTTCTTTAACGTTTTCGAAGATACACCGTTTAAATATCGATATATATTTAGAACTGGATTTGTAGCGAACTATAATTGACCACGTGCAAGTGGAAGTTCGGTAAAAGGGTCAAGCGAATTTATTAAGGCGACGTTCGAAGAACCCGCTAAATCGTTACTTGGATCGACGTATGGTTAACGGTTTAACTGCTTTGATAAAGATGTCATTGGTCAGCCAAGGTTAGTTTTAAACTGTCTTCCTATTGTATGTTGTCGCGAACAAAAAGAACACGAAAAAGAAATTATATTTAATGACGAGTAGTCCATGCTTTAACGTGCCTTTTCGATTATCTGTTTTCTACGCCTTAACTGAAATTGCCTTAAAAGCAACGTTAATTTACGACCACTTTTTCTATCAGTCGCTTATCTTTTATCCAAATAATCGTCTCGATCGTAATAAGAACGTGTCACGAATATCGCGAGTACACCTGAAAAATATCCACAAACTGATCAACATCGTGGGATGGGAAGAGAAACTTAAATAAAAACACATGGAGATTAGACTTACGATTTTGATGCGCGATTTGTTAGCCCTGAATCGGTCGGTACGATCGGTATCGATAGTCCGCCACTTGCTCGTTACAGTCGACAGTGACGTCAAACTATTATACCCGTTGCGATAATACTTATCCTATATCGTCAAGTCGAATTTCTTCAAGAAACGACCATTATCGATACCACGATCGATCCTCAATGAATTATACCGTCAGTGAGTTCTGATTGAACTCTGCTCTTCGTTTTTTCTTCTCAAACTTTCAGGTTCGTTCGATAAAATAATTTTCTGGGAACACATGACCAAATGGTGAAGTTATCGTTAAAATTTTCAAAATTTCACGGGAATGTGTCAGAGTTTAAGGTATCCTCGCGATTCCACGAACGTATCAGTGAGCTATCTTTGTAGGAAACGCTGAAGAAAGAAACCGAAGGATAAAGCGATGCATTGTTTCTCTGTTCGGCTGAGGTTCATTCTGTAACGTGAAACAAGTTTTCCACGTTTTTAGCCCCATTTAAGGGAATACAGGGAACGAAGATTATGGGTCATTGTTTAGACAAAGATTCTTGACCTTAAAACACGAAGAACGTTGAAACAGGTACAAGTAACCAAGAAAAGTCCTCAGCTTTGTTGTTCCATAATCCTTGAACAAGTGAAAATTTCACAAGGTGAAATCCTTGGTACGCTAACTGATCTTACTAAATATGTAACTTTGTGCCATTATGGACATTGAAATGGAATATCTTGAGTTTCAGATAAATTGACTATTGAGTTTCAGATAAGACCCCATGGGACACAGCGTGAGCGACTTTGACCTCGTATTTCTATTCTGCAAAAGGGCAAACAATTACAAGAAAAAAGCTTCACCTTGTCCGTTCGTCCCTCCAAATGTGTCTGTAGTCTGGTCACAGGTCATCGAAGACAAGATAAGGCAATTAAACACAATGAGTCACGATAAAGGTTACGTTGCTTTTTTATGAGGGCAACATACGAGACTTGGCTAGATCTATTAATCATGCCTTAATGTCCTTTTTCCCTTGAACAGCTTGTTCTATATTAGCAACCTGTTTGATAGTTGCTATTAAACTATTATTCCATTTCGTATAGCGAATAAAGAAACGTTGGTTCACGTTAGTAGTATCTTCACAGAAAGATACTATGGAAATAGTTCAGTATTTGTCAATGGGAAATGAAATGTTTCTTCCAAGATAAAACATCGACGAGCTATTCGTTCAACAAGCAGATAAATGAAGCTTATTGACTTAAAAATTTCCTCAGATACACGAAACAATTTACTTTGACGTGTCGAGCTGCTTCCTTCAGAAATTATGGCATTATTTGGTACCGTAATAAACGCGTCAAACGTTCCTCCACTTTGCGATAATCCAACGACCAGAAACTGTCGATCGTACTGCTGAAGAATCACGATTTTAGCGCATTCCAATTCTAGATTCAGCTGACTCAGCAGCCATTGGATATTTTCCTTACAAGTCCCTAGAAACGATTTGCATTAAAACTTTGTTAGAAATTAGTCATATACCTGCATAACTTACAATTTTCCTACACTATAGATGGGTATTCGAATTAAGCAAATTTCTAAAATTTTGCACTCGTTATTTGCTGCGGAACATCTTGGAATATTAAAGATCGGACATTTATCTCTTCGAAAATGGCACTCGTGTTTCGCTATATGACACGAAACCGAAGTTTTCCGATCAGCTCACTGCGCGCAGTGATATTTTACGGTTCGCGAATATCCGGTCTCGGGCTGCAAACTCGGGAACCGTTGGCGATAGTAAAATTACATAACGACAAAGTTCCTTAAAACGATTTTTATCGCGAACGCCACGTAACCGGTGTAACCGTGTGTTCTGTATTTTTCAAACCACTTTTCGTTATCTATCAGTCCCCTTTTTATCCTTTTTCTTCCTTCGACGTATAACCAGTTCCACGAACCACACGTTAAAACTTGGTGACGTCAGTGGTGAATAGCGATAGAAATTGCTACCGGAGTTGCTCAGTGATAATCGAGCCAATGATTGATATCTGTCCGCGTGTGTATTCGTAGATATAAAGTGGCCTGTAATTAAAGGTTCGTAGTGATTGGAGGTTAATGCACTGCTACTTTGCAAGCTACATTGTTGCATGCCTCGTGAAACTAGAAACTTAGAATGTTTACCAAATATCCGAGGATGTGAAGGATAATTGGTGCTCAGCGACGCTGCGTTTCCGGTGAACTTTCTAAATTCCGCGTAATCCAGTCTGGTTACTTTATGCAAATAACGGATCTGCTGGCTCGTAAAGCATATTTCTTTTTTCTTCGTCCGCAAATTACGCAAGCATTCTTCAAAAAATATAAGGAACTATTGTTACAGGTGCGTTTCACTCGTTTTTCAGCGCCGATTAGAATAATGGAAATGGAGCTTCAAATTGGAATTCTAAATCGGCTGGAAATGCAGTGTACGTTTCCGGTAGCTAATAAAAAGTGTCAGTGCGGCAATTGCGATCGGTCGTAAAGGTCCAACGCGTTGTCTATCACGCAACGAATATAACAAATTTATGTTCTAGGCCGAACAAGTTATCGCGAGGTCTAGTTTATTTGTGTGATCGTTATTGAAATCCTTGAGCTTTAATAGAAATGATAGAAATCGCGAAAAGGAAACGCGATGTCCCTTGCTCTCTGTTCCGTAAAGTTACAAATATTGCGACTATCGCGAATACTTTCAGATTACATTCACTCGAAGTACAGAATTACAATTGCACGCTACGATTTATACTTTTCACATCATTTACATATCAAACGTAAGTCAGGAATACGCTCAGGCATCATCTAATTGCAGACTATGTCTACTATTCGCACCTACAGCAACGTTATTACTCGAAAATTCATTCGAATATAGTCGATAAATATCAGAAATAAACATACAGACAGTTTTCTCGCAATCAAGTGGCGATTTAATTTACAACGAGCATCGATGGAGCCGTGTCTGGCGAGGCAGATTTAAAGCGTTGCACGAGCAGAGCCCGCGGAGGCGTAATCTTACATTTCTTCTCCGAATCTTCTCCGAAAAACCGGTTGGCCGGTTCTGATTCAGGCCGACCTTGAGTCAGTCAGCTTCAGGCCTGAAGTTCAGGGCTTTCAAGGTGCTCTCTCTGTCGCGAGCCTTTAATAAGCCCCGCGAGGACGCGAAGTAGAAACACGGAGGAAAGACAGAAAGAGAAGGAGCACGTATGACGTCCGGGGGATGTGAGAATACCATGTGTAATAATAAACCGAACTCCGGCTGCATGACGCTCGGAAGCGACCAGTGAAACGGTGGATGGTCAACGAAGACAATAAAAAAGGGAGAAAAGAACGATTCGAGGGGAGGCGTGCGCCCGATCCACCGAAAATAAGCGACGATCTATTTTCGAGCCAACTCTCGTACACGATGCGCTGTAGGAAAAACACTGGGAGCCGTTGGTTCCATAGATCGATTGCTAGAGACCTAGAGCTGCTACATTATCGTCCAAATTGGAAAATAAAGAGGAAACGTGAGATTGTAACAATGCTGTTTACATTTTTCTCTTTTGGAGAATTTGTAATGATATCATTGGGATATATAGCACTTCCTAATTGTTGAATTTGAAGTCAGTTGTTCTAGACCCTCTTGAGATTTTCTAAAGTAGGTTGAGTTAAAGAATTAGGTGCAGTAGATGAGTATATAGCTCCATGTTTGATGTGTATTGTTCAAAAAGGTTCTCATGGTGTTATTGAGAAACTGGGGTTGTTGAATGAAGGA